GTACGGGTTTGCCACAACCCTTCTCACTTTTCCTTACCCCTCACAATTGTATCTGTCATTTAGTTATAATTTTAGGCCCCTCAATTAGGTAGTTGATTTTCCCCGTATCCCATGTTCCATTTTTAGATATGCCCCTTTTCCCGGTTTCGTGTGCTTGTGTTGCCTAAGCCTTGAAGTCGAGAACTATGATTTTGATTGGCTTTTGCATCAGTCCCCCTAGGGCCTTGCACAGTGCTAGCAGGAACTAGTAGTTCAACAAATACTTGCTAATTTTAAATTAAAGAGAATTGAACCAATTGCTTTCTTTGCCTGGAATTGGTTTTAACATGTTGGAAAAAATATCATATCTAATCTTCATCTCTTCTCATGTGTTTATGGACTATTTTATAGCCAAGGAATAAGTCAGTATATCACAGGCCTAATTATGTAATTTGGAGGCTTCCTCTGCTGGGCAGTCTACAGATTTAAAACTCATGCCAGCTGGATTACACTGGCTTTCAACTGGCTCTATCTTAAGACAGGGAGTGGGAAAAGGCAAAATGCCTCAGGCGTTGAGGGTACAAATGGTGTGAGTTCCATTATGCAAGAATAGAAGCCCATTTTTTTTGGCTTCCGGCTGAAAATCTTGCCATGAGGCTATAGCCAAAGAATGCTTTAATATCGTAAGAAATTTAGAGAGGGATTTTCCCTAGGAAAATATTGCAAACTATAAAAATCCAATAGGCTAAGGTGCAATTTGGTAGAGTCCCCTGAACGATGCCTGCCTCTTCTTAGTTTATGAGTAGGGTCTCTTATGACAGCACTTTGGATGGACTCCTGTAATTCTGGGTTAATGGATGTGTATGATAAGTTTAGGTGCCTGGGAGTAAAGGGCTTGGGGAAGGGGAAAAAGGGGCTTTCTCTTCCTGACATCTGGGACGCCATTGATAGATTACATTAAAGTTCCAAACTTTGTGTGTTAGCACTCTGTCCTCTCTTAGGGACATTTTATCTCAGCTAGAACCTAATAAAAGAAAAAGGACCTTCTCAACTAGAAGCTGCCACATGGCACTCTGCAAGGCTGATGTGGGCGGCTTACAATCAGGTCAAATGGAATGTTTGTTGGCCTGGCTCATGTGATAGCACTAGAGAGTTCTCCAGGGGAGTGCAGAGGGGCTACTTTTGGGGTCATTTCCAAAATTAGAATGAGCCAATATCAGTGGAAGGAAGAGGGAGAGTTAGATTCTAATAAAGCAATTAGCTCGTACTGAATCCAACCACATTTCTTTGTCCTCCTCCTGGCTCCCAGTCAAGATGTTAGAGTCAGGTCCCTATGCAGTGCTCAAGGCAACAGCGAACTGTGTTCATCTCCTGTGGGGGAGAATGGCAGCTTTAAGCACCTCTTTTTCTGCTATAGGAATGTGCAAACAAATTTCTGTTTAATTGTGCTTTGGGCATTCTGATTTGTTTGTTTTGTTTTGTAGGATAAAACATGTTCTATGGAGATGTGTTTGGCTTGTAAAGGAATTATAATAATTGCAGTTCCTGATTTGGGAGAAGTGAAGTTTATTTACCAGCCAGCAGCTTTCAAAAGTTTGGAGATTAAAGAGGGGGTCATCTACTATTCATCTGAAGCAAAGGTCACTTATTTCTGGCATCTGCTAGGTCTCTTTGAGATGTTTGAAGAGGTGACTTCCAAACCAGAGAAAGCACCCTTCTGAGAAATGCAAACATGTTCATATCCTTACTCAGCTGGGGAGCAAAAAAGGCTGCCTGGGAACTAGGGATTCACGGTTACAAGCTGGTATCAGGACAGAAGGTGCCAGTGGAGCCTTCTTCCTCTGACACCAAGTGTCTTGGGAGATGACTAGTAAAATGAACACTATATACAGCTTCCAGTCCCTCAGTGCTTTCCCCGCTAAAAAAAATGAAAATAAAATGTGCAATTATAAACAGGGTGGCATTTTCAGACTATATTTGTTTTTAGCTTTTTAATATATTTCTGCCAGAGGCTTCCAACTGATTACATAGCCTGTTCACGTAGGAGTAAAGGACGTAGGGAGAGATGCTCAGTGGTTCACATTTGCAAAGCAGACGAGGATGATGTAAGGGCACCGGACCAGGGCCTTCCAGGTTAGGAATGAAAAACACAGATGTCGTAATAACCACGACACCCATTTGTTTGAAATCTCGCAGTTGACAAAGTGTGTTCATCTGCACTTTCACATTTGATCCTATCAGGGACTCTGGGAGGCAGCATGGGAGGGGGACTCCTCATGCACGTGGGTTTGCACATGAGTATTTGGATGCAGGAAGATATTCGGTTCATGTAGAGATGTGTTTTCTTAAGAATTTTTAGAAACATAAAGTTATATGGAACAACAACAACAAAAAATAAGTTGTTCACTGTCTAGAAGTGAAAGAATAGAACTTCAATTTTATCTCTATTAGGAGTCACACAGCCATTGTCAGAAGACCATGCCTGTAGGCCCATGAAAACAAACATTTTTGTTCATCATTTCAGCCTTATTAGGGATACCAAGTGGGCTATTTCATTATGGTCAAGTTTGCACAGAAATAAAAACGAGGCCAATAGAGGCCCTAGTGGAGTTGCTGGTGTGATGATCAGGTATGCCTGAGTGACTTGCAAGCAGTGCAGTTTTATGGAAATGTTGCAGCTGCACTACAAAGCAGTTGGCTTGACTTGTCAGACGCAGCCACTGCTCTACAAAACGCAGTGTGCCGAGTTCATTTTCAAGCAGCCCAAACTTGTCTCTAGAGATCCTAGGCATGGACACTCTGGTATATTTTATCCAGAAAATCTTATTTCCTTCCTCTAGATGATGGTGTGTGCTGACTGAGGCTTGTTTATCCACTCCCTTGTTCATTAGACTGAAGGTCTCCAGATGTGGCCACACTTGGGCTTCCAGTTGGCTAGCGAGGCCACAAACCGGTCCCTCTTGGTGTCTGAGGTGTTCACATTTCCTGGGTCTTTCAGTACCCAAATTCCTAATAAAACTAAAAACCCACAAGGACACAACGTGTCCTAGGAAGGACATCTCAGCACAGTTTTCTTTTGCTTCTCAGCTTCTTCCTGCTTCTCTTCTAGATAAATTCTTTAGGATGGCTCATTAGCACAGCGTTTTGAGTGTTAATTGATCTCTTTTATTCACTGGGAAACAGACTTAAGAAATGTCACTATTATAGTGGATTGCTCTGTTTTTCCTTTTATAGTCTGTCCAGCTCAAGATCCCATGCTTGGTGATACTGCTGACAAGTTTTTCTATTTCCAGATTAAATTAAAGTGAACCACACTGGCCCTGTTATTGAAGCAGTGTGTGGGGGTCATTGGCTGTGAGGTGGTTCTATGGCTGTGGGCCACGATGTGAAAATCTCTAGTGTTCATGTCGTTTCCTGAGGCGATCCCCCGCAGAAAGTAAAATGTATTATAACCTGCCGTTTGTGTTCATGAAAAGTATGACAATATCTGACTCTAGGGCAATGAGAGACTTACTAGGATTCCTTCCGGAATTGACATGTCAGCTCATTCGTGGTTTAAGCAGTCTTTAAACAGTATATCATGATAATGGTCTGCTTTTAATTGCTTGGCTTTACCTTACTCTCTTTGTGATTGCAGGTCCTTCAGGTATGGATCTCTGGCAGCTGCTGTTGACCTTGGCACTGGCAGGCTCAAATGATGCTTTCTCTGGGAGTGAGGGTGAGTTCTGCTTTCCCATTCCCACCCCCAGTGTTTTGCAACAACACTGAATTTTGTTATATCCAAGTTCTTTTAATTAAAAGATGAGAGTTTTAAGTGGCAGCAAATATGTAGACAAGCAAAACTTGCTTTAGCTTTTAAAATCATAAACTAGGAGGGCTTTTCTGTGGATCTTTTAGGAGGAATACAGTAGCCAGCTTTGGCATTTGATGTTTTCATATCAAAAATTAATGTTACAAATCATGCTGAGGACATTTATGTTGAAGACACGCCAGGTCTCTTCCTCAGGCTCTGGGAGAGATATTGAAATTGCACTGAAGGGTTATTAACCTACTGTTCACTCAGCTTATCTGTGACTAAGGATATCATAGTCTATTTTCAGAGCTCAGAATTTAGGTTTGTTAATCATACTCTCTGAGGAGGAAATTGCAGGTTTCAAATGAATTTCACCTCTCACTGGCTGGATGATTGATTACTTTCCGGCTAGTCTGAAGGAAGAGACACCTGGAATGTTTGAATGATGTACCCAGAAATCATGAGCTTCCTTGGCCATCTCTGTAATCCTCCCTCCTTTTTTACACCCTTCTCCTGGTAGAGAAATCTCAATATATTTAAACTGTGTTCCATAGCAGACATAACTGAAACAAGGAAGAGCAATGAAAGGGAAAGGGAAGAAGGATTTTTCTGTCCAGAAAGAAAACTGTGCTCATTAAGGGGTAGGAGACTTTTTAAAGATCTTCTTGAGTACTTGATATTTTTCTTTGCCTGGGCTTCAACAGAGGAGAGAAACAATGTATTTCTTTCATGTTATGACACTGAATTCAGTTGTTGCTTTAAGAGTGGCGGACTCCCTTCTCACCGCACTACTCATGTTGGAAAACAACAGCTTAACAGCCGACTTAGCGCCTTAAGATGTCCTCCCTGACCTTCTAGCCAAAAATAAATCTGTAGTAGTGAGCCGCTGAGGGTGACCACAGTAACTTAGCAAATGAGAAGGGTAAAATATGTTATTTTATTTTTTAAAGCAATTTAAAAATATTTATAGAAAATAAGTCATAATTGTTTGAAATATGTTTGGGTCTCTCTGGTGTTATAATGTCAACACTATGCAAGTCAAACACGGAGAGAATTGCAGGCTCCATTTCAGCAGCTTTTCCCATGGCTGGTTTTAGACCCTGGTTCAGAGCCAAGGAATTACAGCTGAGATCCTCTGCTGTTCCAAAGTCGTGGTAGTTTAATCTCCTCTTTCTTCATTAAGGTGACTTTCACTCCACTGGGCAAGATGTGAGGAATTTAAAGATTCTGTGAAATGAAAAGTATGGCATAGGAAATCTTTAAAGAAAATTAAAAATGCATCTCCAGCTGAGAGAATAGATCTCAAGTTACATTTTAGACCTAGAGAATCTGCAAGAGCATCTATTTCAGCTGCTTCAGCATTTTAGTAAACCTTTGACTTCATAGGGAGAGTGGAGAAAAAACATCATTAGCTGGTTTTAATGTTTGCTTTTTGTTTTACTTTTTAATATTTTTGTTTGATTTTTTGGTATGTTTGTTTTGGGGAGAGCAGAACATAAGAAAATGCAATGGTTCGTAGTAAACACAAATCACATATCCTACCGGTACATGCACATAGGAAGTAATTTAGAAAAGCAAAAACATTTTTTCTCCTCCATTTTTTTTCTTGTTGAGCTAACCAAAATTCCTCTTTCCAAATTTGTGCATACTCCAGAATACTTCCTTGAAATGGCCTTGGGATTAAGGATGGGTTATGTTGTTTGCATAAGAAGATATAGGTGAGCATGTTTAAGCATGTATGTACATGCTTGCCTCAGGGTGTGTGTGTGTATGTTTGTGTTTGTGTATTTCCTAGTTCTTGGCATTTATCTAATGGGTTCAGCCAAAGTTAGCACATGACATGACATGGGTCAATCTCAGATGACATTTATGGGCTGTGCATTTCTTTTTCTGCCAGGTCTAGATTGTAGCCAAATCATTTTATTTTTATTTCTTTCCAATTGTAAAAGGCAGACTAAATAACAGGTGAAGAATTTTTTAAAAACAGATACTACTGTAGTTTTACAAACCATTTACTTGAATTCAGTTTGATTAGTGAAAGATGTATATATGTATACCAAGCAGTGCTCAGTAAGTCATCTTGGAAGCTTCGCTTGGAGAAAAGTCACTCGAGCTGGTAGAAGATGACAGATGTGTACGCCTGGGGAAAGCTGGCATTTGAGCAGGGTTTTTCTTGTTCGGGCAAATGAGCAATTAGAAATATACTAGTCCTGAGAGGATTTTTTTTTATGTTAAATCTAATTGCCCTGTGGGAAATTTAATGAGAACTAAATATTGAAAAGTGCCATCGCGTTAGCTGAAGTGTTGTAATAGATGTTCTCTATCTCTCATCCTTAATATGAGGCTCCATATCTGCTCCTCAAAGCAGGTTACATAGTCTCAGGGAGAATTTCTTACTAAAATCAGGAATGATAACAATGCCTCATTTTCAAATGGCTTCACATGTTTGTCCTATCAACTGGTTGCATCAAATTGCTGCTGCTGCTGGAATGATACTGCTAAGGAGAAATGGCCATAAAGATCTGCTGGGTGTAAGTATTCTTCCAAGGAGTTCCTATTATAGATTAGGTCATTCATCTCTACTATTTAAATGAGTCCACACCTGAGCATCCCCTTCGACCTCAGTAACCTAAGGTGGAAGTAGACTAGCTCCTGCCCCAAAGAAGTTCTTAGCTGCGACATGAAGAACTTCCAGAAATTAATGAAAGACTATACAGCTTTAAGGTCTAGATTGTGTGATGAAGACAAATGGTCAAGATGCTCTGAAAAAGAATAGATGAAAGTGGATTAGAATAGTTAATTCAACAAAGTCAGTGTACGGATTTTTCTTGAGAGCTTTCTGTTTTTGATGGTTGAAGCTAGGGCTATGAGGAATACAATGATTCTCCCCTCAAGGTATTTGTCATGAGTTAAGAGATCGGGTATATATGCCAAGAGTTACAAATCAGGCAGTGTATATTAACTATCAAAATGGGAGGGTGGGGTAACCTTGACTGTAGTGAATTAAAGAGAGCTTCATGAAGGAGGCTGACATTATTTCAGTCGGTACTTAGAATGCTGGGTTAAGATTTTAAAGGGCTGAGAAGAACAGGAGGGTATTACTGGAACAGCCAATGTGATAAAGCAACAACATAAACAGAAGTGCACAGGTATAGATATGAGATGTCCCTGGAGAATAGTTCATTCAGTTACTAAGTTTATACTATAGACAGGGCACTGTGCTAGGAAATGAATGATTCTATTTAACATTCGACAAATATTTCTTGGGCACTTTATGGAATACATAGGATTAATTTGGCCAGAGTGTGTGATATATGGGAACTATCTTTGTAATTATTCACTTGGAAATAAATTTAGGTCAGTAGATTTGAGTCAAATTATAGAAGGCCTAGAGATGGCCAAGGCTTCATGGAAAAAGCAAGACTTGCTGGGCCTTGAAGAGTGGATAGTATTTGGAGAGGAAGAAAAGAGAGAGGAAGTATATGCCATATCCAGCAAGTAATAGTCCTCAAAATTGTGGGCCAGGCAAAAGCACTAACTACATGATAGAACATTATTTGTGTATATGTGTTTGTAATATTTATATATAGCATATATAATATTTATGTATATTAAGTATAATTATGTGTGTATATTTTTATGTGTATACACATACACACACACACACACAGGCTTGCAGGCAAACACATAACTGGCATTTTATCACTCTAAAGATAAGTTCTGCAAATTCTATACCACTCAAGGTAAGAAACTTATATTGGGCATGAGATGTCACGTCATAATGAAACCAGGATCCCCAAAATAATGTTTTCTGTATATGTTTGAATGTTTTTCATAAACCTATGCAAACTGACACTAGACTTTATTTGAAAGAAAATACACTTCTGTTCTCATTGTTAACAAATAAGAAATAATGACACAGTGGAAGAGACATTTTAATTTTTTTAATAAACCCTATTCCACTAATAGTAGAAGTTCCACAAAGCCCTGAGAGGTTGCCAAGACATATCTGATATATTTCAAACAAGTTTTAGAGTCGTGGTTGCAGTTGGTGAATAGTAAAGGGTGTACCTTGTTAAGTGTGTTCAAGAATGAACAATTCAAGGCCTTCCATTCACACTGGAAGTGAGGTGAAAAGCCACAGAGCTTTAGATTGCTGCTGTCTTGACCATCATCCAGAGGCAAGAAGAAAGTGTACAGTCTGGTCTAGTGCTATGGACTGAGTCCAGGTACATCAGCAAGTGTATGTCACCTCGTCCCCCTGGTATCATAAGCAGGCTTTGACGTTGGATTCAGCAGGTCACAGCAGGTCACAGTAGGCCAGGTTAATCTAGATTATGCCAATGGAAGATGTGAGACCTTTGCAGAAATTGACACAAAACAGTCTTTCAACAAGTTTTTATTGAGCCCCTTTATGGATTCAAGGAGGAATTTTAAATTTATATTCCTGCCTTTAAGGAACTCATAGTCTGTAGAAGAGAAGAAGAAAAGTAAACCATAATTTAATTGTGATTCTCTTAGATGTTATTAAAGGGTTTTAAAGTAGGTAATAATACTGTTAGATTTTAACTTTGAAAATAATACTAGTAATAGAAAAAAGTGAATTTGATGAGACTCTGTCCCAAAAAAAAAAAAAAAAGTGAATTTGAGAGGGATGAGGAAGGTGATGGTAACAGGTCAGGAGAGAGATAATGTGTGTTGGAAGTGATAAAAATAGATGGATCGCAGAGAGAGATATTGAGGAGATGGAATCACCAGTGCTTGGAGTACAATTAACCTGTGGCTTTTTGGCTTTGGGAACTGTCAGTGCCTTCTTGCTCCATCCATTTCAAAGTCTCTACATTTTTAGTTAATGTTATCAACATTGGCAATGACTCATTTTTAATGCAGTGCAGTCCTGGAACACAGCTCAGCCTATTAGTAGC